GGTACATTCCATGTACTAACACATATTTTTGCCTACATTATTTTACTAATGTATAGGAAAGAAGAAACAGTTGAGTGACATGGCTTTTTTATAAATCTGACATAATTATTGTTGTGGCAGTGACATGACGATGATGTGGCACGAGTGTGAAACACTTTCTCATCATGTGACTGGTTGTATTGCATCGGAATTGAAATAAATTCACTTTTAAGTAATTCAGGTGTATAATAGATCGTCACAATAGTTTTAGTGTGTAACTGATTCTTCGTGACAAACTTGTGGGGGGGGGGGGGTTATGCCTTCCCTCAAATATAATACTAGAGGTTGGCGTAGTGATTCAGAGAATTCAAACTCCACCAGTAGATTCCAAGTTCAAATTGCAAACATTACATTTTTATTTGGGAACTTACATAAATACACTATATTAAAAACATATTTACCATTTATAGCAATACCATTTATTTCACTTGATCTCTTTTAATACATTTATAATACAGTTTTAATACATATTACAAAGAACAATTTATTATTCACATATAATACAAGTTTTGTTGATGGATAATACACTTATAATACAATGTGTCAATTTCTTAACAAACAAGCATAATATATATTTTTTAAAACAATTATAATTCATATATATTGCATACATAATTTACTTTTAATATATATTACAAATTTAACATAGTATTGATATGTATTGCTATAAATGGTAATAAATAAAAAAATATCGCTAAAATCAATAATTATTTAATAAAAGGTATCTATCCAAGTAATTTTTCCTTTTTATTTTTCAAACCCAGTACTTAAAATAATGGATCCGGACGGTACTTCCATGTTGTATAACAATATTACTAATAGGCCTAACCCATCGGTAGCCCCTTAAAATTGACACTAGTTTTCACTTAGACACTCTAACTAGACTTTGTTTATTTTAGACACCTCATCCCATGTCTCGTTGTGTTCTTTTAACACTTTTTGCTGACATGACATAGTGAGTGTGGTACACTCCTTACCAGCGCATGATCGAGAGCTTATTTAACCTTTTTTTTTTCTTCTTCTTCCCCATTTTAGCCACCATTTTCTATAACTTAAACTCCTTCCATGGAGAAATGGATCTAATGCTACTACAACACCAAGAGATTTCAAGCTTAAACAATATTTCTTATTTTGTTGTCATTCTTCCTCGTCAAGATATGTTTTGAAAATAATTGAAATACATTTTTTTTTAAAGTTATAGGAAATTCTTTTAATAGGAAACTCTATGTTTAGATTTGAAGATATTATTTTTATTTGAAATGGGGGGTGGGGGTGGGAGGTGGTGGAGAAGATGATTTGAGTGTGGTAGGGGTAGGGAGTTGTGAACTTTGGAGAAGACAATCTAGCGGGGGAGGGGTTGAGGATCCGGGGTAGGGGGTGGTGGAAAAGAGGACTATTCAAGTGGTTAATTTTTATAAAAATTATTTGGATAAAAGTTGCAACTTGTCATTAAGTCATTGGCCTTTTTTTCTACTCAAAATTCATTATTTAAAAATTATTTTCAATATATGCCATGTGTCTTTATTTAATTCGTCATTTTGACACGTCATCGGCGAGTGTGTTACACACATCTTGCACATTTGGTTGATTATAAAAAAAAAAGTGTCAAAATAACACACCAAAACATGACATAAGGTGTCTAAAATGAACAAAACTTAGTTAAGGTGTCTAAGTGAAAGTTAGTGTCAACTTTAGGGGGCCTGGATTAGGCCTTACTAATAATACTACCTCTCATGGGATTGACCCCATTGGGATTCTCATGATTGAAGTTTGATAAACTTCTCCTCTTTGACCAACAAAAAAAAAATCACAATGGGAATAAGTCCAAACACTGTTTTGCATTAATGACAACAAAGAAGTTAAGTATTAAGTTATCATTTAACTTAAACAGTATCTATTATTATAACTAGATATGAATGCCCGTGACGTGGAATGGAAATTTTATGTCTCTTCAACTCATTTCTAATTATTCTTATGATTTACACAATCTATAAATAACAATTATCTATGTTCAATGTTCAATGTTCATTTTCATTTTCTTATTCTTTCTTTTTATCAGTGTAGTTTTTTCCTCTTTTTAAATTGTTTTTCTTCATCTTTTTCATCAATCATGTACTTAATAATGTCACCATATGGTCTTCATTTTGATAAAGATTATAGATATGTACTTAATAATGTCACCATATGTTCATATGGATGTTCACATTAGTTTGGTACTAGTTCATCAAAATGAATAGCTACAAAACTACAAAATATGACAAACATTAATATATATTTAAAATAAATAGCTACAGTTTATTTTTTTTATATCATATGGATATAACTACACAATAAATAGCAAAGTTAATTACATATAAATAATCAGAAAAGTTATTACTATTAAATAAGAATGTTATTATTACACACCTAATTGATTACGTCTAGACATGTTTTATGTGATTGGTTCTCATGTTTACCCTCATTAATATTCTCTTTCATCAATCTTCCTATATCACAAAATTTATGGTATTTCTCTCCCAAATTTCTTTCAATTTAAGATCTTTTTGATGATTCTAGTAGCATTTTTTGTAATTTGAATTCATTAAATATCTTTTAATTGATTTTTTCCTCGTGTTTATGAAGATCATATTTGTATGCATATATATTGCATCTATTTTTATAGGCTTTCGATTGAAGAATTATTTGTTTCTACATTACAATGGCAATAGTTATAAATAAAAAAAAAGTAGTACAAGAGGAACATGAGCAAAAAGAGATTGAAGTTTGTGTGATTGTCAAATTTGTATACAGTAGATTAGTTATATACATAGATACTTGTATTCTAATATTAACACAAGTATCTATGTATATAAATACTTGTATTCTAATATTAACACAAGTTGAAATGGTGACTTGTATTCACAAATCACCACTTGTATTCTAATTTTAACACAAGTTGAAATGATGATTTGTGAATACAAGTATATTTGGATACATAAGTAGTCTATCGAATTTGAAAGGTTGATTAAACAATACAAGTATAATTGGATGCATTAATACTATATTTTTATAAACAAATACATGAGTTAACACCAAGCCTCACGTATTATAGGAAAAACTTGACCAAAAAGAGATTGCCGTTTGTTGGCCTTTTCATTTTTTTATACAGTCAAATACTTGCACACTTTGATACCTACACATTCTATTATTTTCTTTTTTTTTTGTTTTTGAGTTGTCAAATGTATCCATCTTTTGTTTAACAAGAATGTATTCATATTTATACTATATTGGTGAATTCATTTTTTGTTTAACAACAATGTGTTCATTTTTCAAATTATCATGTTCATATACTAAAGTGTTATACTTTATCTTGTTTAATATATTAATACATTAAGTTTTTACAAATACTTGTATCTTTAATATATTAATACTTTAAATTTTATAAATAAAGATATCAATTTGAATTTGTACAATTAATAATTTTTCCTTATTTAGTTCATTGTAATTAAATGAATAAATAGAAAAATAAAAAACATATACAATAATACAGCTAGAAAAAGACATAAATTGTAGTCATTTTTTATAAATACCATACTTATAGCTATTGAACTTTAATAACCCTATAAATATAGTCATTTTTGTAAGTTTGGGCAAAAATTAATTAATAAATCATCCCATCTTAAAATCTCATCTTTTCTTCATTACATTACATTATATGTAGAGAGCAGAGAAAAGGGAGAAAATTAGAATGTAAAATCTGAGTCTCCATAAAAAAAAATATAGAGGATTTCGGAGGGATATTAATGGATTTTTCTCAATATGCAGACTCTCATAGTCCAAAATTTGGATATATTACCCGTTAACTTTTGATTTTCTATGGTGAATGTGTGTTGATTTATTAGTGTAACGTGCCATCTTACACGCACGCATATGTGCACTTATTTTAAAAAATAAAGTTGGAACATACGGAGTTTATGCACAACTCTAGCCGTTGTTGGAAACTAAAGAGATGACAACATTTATGTACATCAAAACAAAGGTACATACATTAGTTATTATCAACGTAACGGGCAATAATTTTATATTTAGAAATCTACATTTTAAACTTTGAGTGTGCACCTCATTCTTAGTAGAAGTTTTTCATATGACCATCACGAAGAAGAAGAAGAAGATACAATTAATGGGGCCCTCGTCTTTTAAGAAACTAATGAAGAACCACTCCACCTCATTTTGTTTGTAAGCATCTGTCAATTCATAAAACTTCTCCGCATTTTGAAAGTGATGCAAAACATTAATGTAACACAACTAATTTCTATCATAATATCCCCACAGTACAATAAAAACATGGAAGGATGAATTTTATTATGAGTGTTGATTTTTTAAAAAGCAGAGTAAAATTTCATATTACTTCTGGTCAGTAGTATGCAATTTCACATAAATATTATCAATATTTGAGCATGATTTTTTCTTCACTACCTTGGGAGGACTGTAAAATCCCTAATTTAATTTTTTTCTCCTGGTCATGATACCTAGAACCCTGTATGAGTACATGTGTTCGCTAGAAAAAGGAAAAAGCTCTCATTTTGCATGATCTTTCTCCTATAACTGAAATCTCCATCAGAACTACGCATATTCCCAAGACCACAAAAACAAAAGATAATTATGATATCGAGAAAAATTGAATAAAAGTATTCTAATTCTTTTCCTTAAGATGTTGGTACAAAGAGAATAAAACGCGAAGAGAGAAAAAAAACCAAAAATTCGATGCAAACCTAAAACAATGAAGTATCTAATAAGCAACAAATTTTGTATCAAAATTGTGAACTTCACGTTCAACCGCATGCAAAACTAACACAGTGAAGATAATCAGATGCAAAATGCTGTAGAAACGCGAAAACACGTGTTCTCCAAAACATAACACTCATCTTAAGAAAAAGGTATTAAGTGACTAAAGCTAATTTAAAAGACATGAAGCACACATGTTGATACCAAATTTTTAACTCATTCTTCTAATATATTAGAATATGTATACATAAGGATTCAAAAACCATAAGTATTTTCTTCCCTGCTAGTAGGTGAAGGAATATCTTCTGGATCTCTTTTGGGCCTTACCCATCTACCATAAGAATTACACTCTAACCCCTTGTGGGCCAATTGGTACCAACAAGTAGGAATTCTTAACTCATCTACAAGCATATCACATGCCTTGTTCACCAGTGCCACATCCCTTTTAGCATTAGACCTAAATGTTGAACTACTACTCACAAAACCATCTACTAAATGAAGGTATGTCTCAAGCATATGAATCCCTATAAAATTGAACCCCCTTTTAAGATAAGGTGAAGACCTAACATCAAGCTTCAATTCAGCACCAACATGTGTGTAAATCCACTCTAATGTCCCAGTAAGATCATCGAATTTTTGTAGACTTTCATTCAAAACTATTCCGGGCATTCGAGGGACTAAGTCCTGTTTCACTGTAACACGTAAAATTTTGACTCCCATTTGATAAAGCTCATCGCGAAATGCAATATTTCCAACTCTTGGGGCTGCAAAAGAAATAACACTAATTGGAAGTTTTGGAAAATTTGCTGCTGATTCATAAGCATTTAGTAGAGCAAGTGCACCCCCTAGGCTATGTCCTGTTATTGTGAGGCTAACTTGTTCAGCACTTTCTGTTTTGTAAAAATCTACCAATGTTTTCAATTCTTTCATGACTTGTTCTGAGGCACTTGATATGTTGTATCTAGTTGAATCACACTTAGATGTGTAAATACTAAGAAAACCATGTTCTACTTTTGAGTCCATATGTCCAATTGACTCTAATTTCCTCTGCATATTTTCATACCATTCTGAAGGTGTCACTGTGCCTCTCCATGCCACAACAATATCTCTCCTCCCAATTCGGCGCGATTCTTCATCATCACTAACTGCCACAAAACCAATCCAATTTGAATCTTTGCTCCATGTGTATGTCAATTTTGATCTTTCAAGCCATTGGGGCATATCTATTTGTGACATAGCATAGATGTACTTTGTAACTTTGTAGCCACTCTTGTTAAGTCCTGACTTATCAAACAATTTATGACTATTGTACATGCAACTTCCACAATACTCAGAGAATGAGTCAATATCTAATGCATCATAAGTTGCTTGAGCAAATTCACCATATTTTACAATTTCTCGACGAAGCAAAGGGTGGAGTGGATCAAGAAGTCCTTCCCATTCATGAACACCATGAATGTCGCGCCATCGATCGGATATGTCCTCCTTAGGTGACATGGTAGGTGTGTTGGCCTTGTCTTCATGAATATTGTTCAAAGTAGAATGAGTACTAGGAGGAGGATCATTCTTTTGAATGTTTAAAAGGTTTGACAATTTTTCACCAAGCCTATTTGATTTCTTTGAGGTTTTAACAACATCTTGGTAGGCATAGACCATGGGAACCCTATTTTTAGTTAGGTCAAGGTTGTGATGGTGGAGATGTGTGACGAGGGGGAGGTGGATTGATTTCATGGTGGCTTGAAAAAATATGGAGAAGTTGTAAATGAGAATTTGAGTTGGAACTTGAATTTTACTATAATATTTAAATGATGTGGGGTGGTTGGAAATTGTCAAAGTAATAAAGAAAAAGAGGATTTCAATATTCAAAAACAAGCAGCCATTTGGACGTATATTATTTGATTAAAAATGGTCCAACATAAATATCACGCGTTAGGCAAGAAAAAGGAATCTTTCAGTATTAAGAAACAACCCATGAAGTATCCAGCAGGAATTGGTTCAATACATAATATTTTAAATGACCATATATATGGTATTTATTAGTGTAGTATAAAATATCGAGTGCGACTATGTTTTTATGTAATATTACAATTCACTCATTTATTTTTATACTTGCATTTGTACTTCCTTTTCTTACAATATATTAGGTAGATCAAAATTTTGCTTTTATGGATTAATATTACACATTTGACTTTTTTTAAATTTTCTATGTGTGTATTTTTTAATATATATTGTAACATTCCTCCGTAAACTCAACCCAATCATTTGAAAACAATAACGTGGGAATACCCCTAAAAACTGAAAGTCACCATACCAAATTAAATATAAATCCAACTGGGGATGCAATCCCAAAAATTAAACATTCTAAATCAAAAGTCTGTTTCCGAACAAGTGGACAAGAAAATATAGAGAAATCCCTAGAAGCTTGAAAGATGTAGCTCACCCTTGGATTCGATTGAGAGTTTTTGGGGTTAGTCTGACTGTCCTCATTCAAGTTTGTAGGCGTGCGAATAAGAGGGCAGTAGGCGAAATTTTATGAATTGAATGGGACTTCAGCTTCGACAATCGTATCCAGTATCTCTCAACTAAGGTCTCGGCCGTTGGAAGATTCGTTGCACTCAATAAGAAAATAAGCAAGTGCAATATCAGTACAAAAACCATTATCAACTGGTAGGATCAGGCGGCCAGTCCAACATATGCATATAAGTAATTCATAACTAAATAGAATCACAAGGAAATATACAATCTAGCAACAAACATTAGTCACATGACATGAAAACCACAAAAGGAATTAACCAATGCATGACATGTCGCACACGATCATAATGCAAGTATCGGTCCTCTCATGGAACCTCAAACCAAACTATAGTATCATACCAGGCATGGTATTCGATCCAACCGTATATAATCATATCAGGCGTGCTATCCGAGTCAATCAACAATATTCTGTATTAGAATGATACCTGAGCCAACCGACAAGCACAACAAGCATGCATAAATACATTACACCACAACATGCATCAACCCACAACACAATGAACAAGACTACTTGAGCCCACAAGTTACAATTCCAAGTTCATTTCATATGCTTCCTATCACACATTACACAACATGACTCTTCAAGTAATAAACATGTAAATACATTTATCCTGGGAGCATATAACTATCACCTATCTCGAATCAAGCCCTTTGAAAACTCTAAATAGCAAAGTTTCCCCCTTGCAAAGTGCCTTGACTTGTTCTTGGTCCAAAATAAACAATATAACATTCAATCAATAACAAATAACCTATTAATTTACCCGGATTGCTAACAAATCCCAACCCCTCCCAAAATGAGATCATCTTCCCCAACTAATTAGGGATCCTTACCACCATGAATTCATGCTCAAAACATTTCTCCAATTTTAACCACCTAGTTTTTAAGGCTTAAGAAACATTTAACAAGATTGGGGAGTTGAATTCTTACCTTAATCGGTGATTTTCGTGGAAAAATGGATGCATGTTGTCCAAATTCATCCCTCCCTACTTTAAGAACTCAACTTGTAGAAAATAGGAGTTTTGGACAATTTTCTGCATAAAATCATGATTCTCTTGCTATAGCAACTTTAGCCTCGCTATAGCGACGCCGCTATAGTAGCAACTTACTATAGCGGTCTGAGCAACGCTATAATGAGAAGTTGTCCTCTGTAGTGAGGTCGACAGATTTCTTGCGGCTCAACATAAAAAAAATAAGCCTTTTTTACAACACAAACTATTTCCTTGACGTCCTGACTCATATTTTCACGCCAAGATAAACTTCATGAATTCTACTTACCCGAATTCTATTTTGAAAGGCCTTATGAATTTCTTAATGTTTTGGCTATAATTATACATCACTCAAATCTAAATAGAAGGCCAAATCCTTTCTCAGATAGCCCTAGACCTCACCTAGCCCAGATCCTATATAAGGCTAGCTTAGCCAAGAAAATATTAAATTACTATCCGAAAAGTTTTCTTGCCAAAATTCCTTCCCTATGGACTTATTCTTAACGACTGGGTCAAGTCCTTACAGTTATATTCTGGTATTTTTATGATTTAACAAACTATAGAGAAGCAGGACAAGTCAATGGAAGGCAGTCGTAAAGCTATAGAAACTGCAACGGTAGGTGGGCACGACAACAGGGGTGCAACATGGGCAGAAGTCATCGACCAATGACATGCTATTAGGTTGTTTTGTCTCTCTTATACATTAGATACATTGATAAGAAACAACCTAGTTTTTAAAATCAAGTTTATTCACGAAGCAAAAATAGTCATTTCAGAGAAGAACATAGCTCATACTCAACAACGGACTTGATCGGGTGTTGCAGCGTCTTAAGTTGTTCTTTGAGTTTAGTGTCTTGTGCTCTCATATTGTAGATATATTCCTAAGTTATAAAGGATAATAGACCGCATCAATTCTTTCATTGTGATTTAAGTCATTGGCTAGAGTTCGTCGTCTTATAGTCGGTGAAGTCTATGTTAACTAGATATAATTGATATAGTGGGCAATAAAGTTATTGCTTCGAGTCTTATAATAGAAGTGTTACAAGGTGGGTAGAGACGTAGAGTTAAGAGTTTAATATAAGTCATCAGATAAAACTAAAGATTGATTTACTTGTTTTTGTACAGTTACATCATCAAAAATTGCGCAAACAAGTTAATATAAGTCAAATTTATACTTAAAACCAGTTTAAAAAATTGAGAAATTACACAAAGAACAATATAAGTAATAGAAGTGCTTGGACGTTTCAAAAATCGAACTATTTTAGATGAATTTCAATATTTCATTCCATCAATACAAAAAGACATATAACTAGGAATTATTAGAAGATAATTAATAAATAAATAAACTTTTAATCAGGGACGATTTTGAGGTGGATCACCTTTTTTACATGGAAACAAATCATTAAAATTTAGTAATATACTCCTTTGATTTCCTTCAACTTGTTCACTTTGTAATTTTGTATTTTCCTTCAGAAATTATTGCTCAAGTGTTTATTTTACTAAATTTTAGTTATTAATAGTACTTTAAATTTCGATTTACTATTAATATTCCAATTAGTTTGATAAATGACTAATTGGTGATAAGGATATAATTTTAGAAAAAATAAATATATTTTTTTCAAGTAAAAGGAAAAAAAATATTTCATATATACTTGAAAAATAAAAAGGAAGGGAGGAATTACTAAATTTATTCAGATTCCAAGAAATCAGTAAAATGAATATTAAATCCGAAAACTGTATGCATATATTCTCTTCATATCCACGTGTGTGTAATTAAATTGGAAAACGAAATACGTTATACTTTAGTCCTCTCTATTCAATATATTAAAAATAATTATTTAATTTATTTTATTTTATTTTAAAAATTAAGAGATAAATTATTATTTACATTTATTTATTCTTGTTATTAAATATTATTTATTTTTTACTATTTAGTTAACTTATAATTAATAAGATATTACTCCTCTATTTTTTTTAAAGAAGTATGATAACTCAATAAGTAAAGATGGACGGAGGAAATAATAAAGCGGAAAATAAACGTGTTAAGCCGAAATCAGTTAATAGTGTTGTTGATGTTGTGACTTGTGGTGCTGCTGCTTTAATCAAACGTTGACAGGGCAACAATGACTTCTGCACTTTGTTGGGCTTATCTAATAGCGCGGCCGATTTATTTAGAAACTGTTCGATTTGAGGTGTGAATGTGAAATAAGAAAAGATATTTTTTAGATTGAATCAAAAAGGTATTTTTTGGATCATACCTTTCATCGTACCTTTTTATTGTCGATAAATTAATTAGAGGTCATGCCATAGATTTTATTTTATATTGTATTGAAGATAGTAGAAATTTGGAAGTCTTTTATTCTTTTTCGTGCATCATTTTCAAATAAAATTAAGTGTAGTGTGATTTGTTTTGTTTGTTGAGTTCATCGGAGTTTGGAGTCTATAATTTGTATTGTTATTTTTATAAAAACGTTTTCTATTCTATTTTAGGATGAAGCAACCTAATATTGAGTTCGAAAGTAATTAGAGCGTCATGCAGAAGCTTATAATTACAAATCATGACATTGATAAATCAAATAACAAATAAAACTATACTAAGAAACATAAAATTATTATATAATTTGGTCAATTGGTCTACATATGAAAAACTAATATAATAGAAAATATTAAAATTGTTAAAAAAAAATCTCTTTAACAACTATATCGTGAATGCTATTGTTGTTTGCTATAGATCTCCAAACTTCTTTCTTATAAAAAAAAAAAAGATTGGGATCCAGTCCAATAAATTTACATCCAGTATATATCAATAGGGCTTTCAGATTTTGACATGTGTCCCACTATAATTCAATGGATAGGATCTATAGTCTTAATCCTGGTTGGTCTCCTTTTTCTTTAGTTTCCTATCAAGAATCCATATACTAGCTCCATTCTCTCCTTAACCTTCGTGCGCGCATGCATATATATATATACACTTTGAGATGGGGCTAACCCATTGGTGGCCCCTTAAATTTGGCACGAAATTTCACTTAGGCACCTCAAGTGGATGATGTTCATTTTAGACACCTCATGTAGGGTTTCGCTGTGTCATTTTGGCACTTTTTGCTTACATGGCATAGTGAGTGTAATACACTTGTTGAACGCGCGTGAAAAACCTATTTAGTCGATTTTTTAATTATTTTTTACTTCTTCTTTCTCATTTTCAGCCACCATTTTTGCAAACTTAAATATCCAACATGGTGAATAAAAAGAAATTTAGGAATAGACCCATTTCAAGAT